TTTTTTTTTTTTTTTTCATGTGATACCAGATACTATTCACACATACCATTCACATAGTTGCTCTCAATTTTTGTTGTTTTTCTTTGGAGTCAAACCATTTTACAAATCTTAATATTGATTCAGGGAGAGGGCAATTTAGGGAGAGTTGGAACTAGTTACCAGTTTATTACTGCAAAGCAGCTACAAGCACAAGCAAGACAGATGCAGTAAGCAAGGGAAATGGTGAAGAAGAATAATGAAGAAGCTTCACTTGGAGGTTTTTAAGGTTGATGAACAAATCCAGCAACAAGAGTCTTCTTTTAAGTTCTGGCTGAATTTCCTTTGAGATGCTGTGTTGATGAAGTTAATTTTGCATTTTCTTGTTTGTTTTTGACTAAGGAAGCATGGTTCTGTTCTATTATTGACCAATTAAACATAGTTATATTCTGTTATTGGCCAAGTAAACATGGTTCTGTTTTTTCTAATGCTACTGTATTAGTCTTGGATCTTATTAGTATCTATTATTCAAGTTGATGATACCATGGTTCTGTTCTGTTAGTCTTGGTTCTGTTCTGTTATTGAACAGCCATGTAGAATTTTGCTAGACCATTGCAAGAAAATGACAAGTTAACCAACAAAGTGAACAAATTTTTATAGATAAAATAACAAAAATACATATATTCCAGCCAGCAAAAACCATCTCTTACATTGAATTACAAAAGCCACAACCGAAGACCCACATGCCTAATATCTGGTGATTCTAAGCAGCAATACACCAGAAATCAAACCAATGAAAATAAAAAAAACCAAACATATCACTTCACTGATCATCACAGCTTTTGAGTATCTCTTCTCCAGCTTCTTCACTTTCTTCTCCAAAACACTCACCTTTCTATCCATTAATCCACTGTGTTTCTTCAATTGCAGATTTTCTTGCAACAATTTCCCATTTTCCTCCATAAATCTTCCATTTTCCAACAAAAGCTCATCTTTTTCTTGCATTATTTTCTCTTTCTCTTTAACAACTTTGCATTCTTTATCTTTCAAAACCAGCAGCAACTCCATCGCTCTACCCTCGATTTTTTCCTCACCAGCTAGGAAATGGAATTAATTGTAAGGATTCTACATAAAAATCTTGTTAAATAATCAATTGAGAAAAACCTAAACCACTGACAAAAAAGACAAAGATATTGTATAATTACCTTCTTCTTAGGACAACATCTAAACATCTTACCCATGCTTTGGAAAGTAAAGGAAGTCCGAATAACAACATTTAACCCACAGTTGCATTTATTATCTTCACTTCTGAAATCTGTACATTGTGCAAAGCTTCCACTCTCAAATGAACTTGAACCTGAACCCAAACTCCTTGCAGAACCAGCTTCCATTTTATGATTCTCACAAACCCAAGACAAATAGCAGATGATTAGGGTTCAAGGGAAGAAGAAGGAATAAAAAATGCAAATGATTTCGGGTTCGGGTTTGAAGAAAAAGAAATCACAAGACAAGGTGCAAGGGATTTAAGGTTCAAAGAAGAAGAAGGAATCAAGATTTACAGAGGATTTAGGGGTTGAGAAGAAGGAATCAGGGGTTCTGAGAAGAAGGAATCAAGAGTGGTTCTAGAGGATTTATGGGTCGAAGAAGAAGGAATCAGTTTGATCTGCAGGCATCATCGATTGCAGGAAGCAAGCTTTCTCGATTTTTGGAAACTGAGCAATTGGAAACATGGAAGTAAATACCGGAATGGTTGTCGGTTATTACCAGAAGATTTAGGGGGTTTCGAAGAACAAAGGATCTAGGGCTTAAATGGGCAAAGGAAACAAAGAGTAAAGTGAAGAATCTGTAAGAGGAAGGGGAGTCTACATCGATAAAAGCAGACAATGACATGTTTGCCCACTATTTTGTTTTATTTAGAAAGGCTAGAGGGACAAAAAAATCAAACGTGGAATAAAAATTGGTACTATATCATCAATTGGCTGAGTTGGTTTTTCCACATAGGCATGAAAAAATTAAAAGTGGTAATTGTTGGACACTTCACGTGCCAGGTATGCAGCCTGTCAATGGAAGGACCATTTGGGTTCCACAAAAATGAAGTTAAAGAACCACTTAGGTGCTTTCTGAAATTAAAGGACGAACTAAGTTCTGAAATGAAAGTTTAGGGACCATTTGGGTTAGAACTAAATTTTTTTGAAAAGGTTTTTCTTGAGAAAATATTATAATTTATATGGAAAAATTAATAAATTTTATAGTAAAATTTTATTAATGTGTTAATTTTTTATATTTTATAAGAAATTGATATATAAAAATTGTTAAATGAATCTTATATAAGTAAAGAAAAACAAAATTCAACAGCAAGATATATAATTTAGTAAATTCATTAATAAATAAATCTCTTGTAAATTAAATTTTAAATTTAATATTTTAAAAAAATTAATTTTTTAAATACTCTAAATTCTTATAAAAATATGCCCAACAACAAAAAAACGAAATTGTATGAAATAGCAACGCTAATATTCATTTCGAGACCTAAACGACCATCATTGTTATCATCAATATATAAAAAGATACTATTGCTTTAAGATCGTTTTGGGAGGTGAGGTGCACAAAAATTAATTTTTAAAAAATTACACAAATTGGATGTTTTCGTGATTATCACGGCAATGTCATCTTTCCTTTTTTATCAAGTCTTGATAAGATGAAGACGGTGGAATTCTTCTAATTTCCAT